ATCTCATGGCACACATAAACTAAATACTAAAATTCCGCGCACACCAAAAACATATTTTTTGCCAATCTGACAAATTACCTACCCTTTTTGCTCCAAAGTGATTTTTTAAAAAATCAGGTATCACCCAGCTGGCATGGCTCAGTGGTTGAGCATTGACCTATGAACCAGGAGGTCACAGTTCGATTCCCGGTCAGGGCATATGACCAGGTTGTTAGCTCGATCCCCAGTTGGGGGCGTGTAGGAGGCAGCTGATCAATGATTCTCTCTCATCATTGATGTTTCTATATCTCTCTCTCCCTCTCCTGTCCTCTCTGAAATCAATAAAAATACATTTTAAAAAATTAAAAATCAAGTGCCTATACTTGTATAATAAGGATTTCTAGTACCAAGAGTTAACAAATCAAACACAACCATATTATGCACAGTGACCAATAAGATGCAACTGTTATAAATAACCTATATAATTATGGTTCAAGACAGAGCATTCACACCCACAGTTATTGTTGTGTTGGTTGTTGTCATTTTTCAATTTGACAGTCTAAAGGAAAAGAAGTCAGTGCCCCTGACTAAATAGTCAGGTATTGCTTTTTTAAAAAATTTTGCAGCACACCGGTTGAAAATCACTGCTCTGACCTATTGTACTCTGGACTCAGCCTACCTCTGAAGCAGCAGAAATCTTGGTACTTTCTTGAGCTTAATCTGTATTACAAATCCCTGAGAATGCCTGTTTCCATGTCTATTCTTTGGCTCACCTTGCTTCTCTGTTTGAAATGGCTTAAACTCTGTTAATCCTTCTTGAAAGGATTAACTCAAGATCATCCCCCTCCTTACTTAATTCCTTCAGGCAAAACTGACCATTGATTCCTTGGTGCTCTTCTCTATCTCAGAGCACCTATTTGTACATATAATTGCTCCCCCCACTAGACTATAAAGTCCCTGTAACCTGCATGCCAGGTAATATTATTAACAACTAGAGGCCAGGCGCATGAAATTCATGCACAGGGGTGGGGGATCCCCTTAGCCCGGCCTGCACCCTCTTCAATCCAGAACCCCTCGGGGGATGTCCAACTGCCTTTAGCAATCTGGGACCGCTGGCTCCTAACCACTCACCTGCCTGCCTGCCTGATTGCCTCTAACCCCTCTGCCTGCCTGCCTGATCACCCCTAACCACCTCTGCCTGCCTGATTGCCCCTAACTACCTCTACTTGCCTGCCTGATCACCCCTAACTGCTCCCCTACCAGCCTGATTGCCCCTAACTGCTCCCCTGCTGGCCTGATTGCCCCTAACTGCCTCTGCCTCACCCCGCACCTGGGACCCAGGATTCCTTCCTCTGGCCAGTCACAGGCACCTGGGAACTGGGCTTCCCTCCCTCTGGCAAACAGCAGGCACCCAGGATCTGGGCCAGCTTCGCCTGGGTCAGCCGCAGTCGCAGGGAACCATGGGCAGGCGGCTTTACCCGGGCCGCAGCTGCTGGCGCCCGGGACCACGGGGCGTGCGGCTTGTCCCTCTCCCAGGCCGCAGGTGCAGGCTCAGCCACTGGAGCCCGGGACCGCGGGGTGGGCAGCTTCTCCCTCTCCCAGGCCTCAGCCTGGCTGGTCCCCATTCTTCTCTCCCCAGTGTTGAATATCTGAGCCGTTAAGACATGATGGCGTGAGGGTGTGATGACCATTTGCATATTAGCTCTTTATTATATAGGATAGTAATAGTTACTGAGCATTAACTATGTGGCAAGCTCTGTTCCAAGCCGTGTGTGTGTGTGTGTGTGTGTGTGTGTGTGTGTGTGAACACTGAATTCTTCTGACAACTTTATGGGTAGATATTATTACTGCCCATATTTTACAGATAAGGAAACTAAGGGACAGAGATTAAGTAACATGCATATGTTGAAAGAATTTCCCTGTAGTAGAGGTTCTATAAAGAACTCCCTATCTCACTAATTCATATTTTTCTACCATCTGCCCAGCTTACCATGTAAGATGTATTGACACAGAACCACATAGACAGGTGTACAGCTCTCTATACATTCTTTGAAAATAATCGCTTTATGCCAGGCAGCTTTAGTCTAAATGTGGGGAGTTCTGCTAAACACAGGATTCTCACCACTCTAACCAACACTATTTTCAGCTATATTGGAAAGTTTTCTCTTAGATTCCAATGTGTGAAAAGACATTGAACTGTTTTTGTTTTTAATTTTTATAAATATATTTTTATTGATTTCAGAAAGGAAAGGAGAGAGAAACATCAATGATGAGAGAGAATCATTGATCAGCTGCCTCCTACACGCCCCCTACTGGGAACTGAGCCCACACCCCCAGCCATGTGCCTTTGACCAGAATCAAACCCAGGACCCTTCAGTCTGCAGGCTGATGCTCTATCCCAGCCGTGGGCAAACTACAGCCCGCGGGCCGGATCCGGCCCATTTGAAATGAATAAAACTAAAAAAAAAAAGACCGTACCCTTTTATGTAATGATGTTTACTTTGAATTTATATTAGTTCACACAAACACTCCATCCATGCTTTTGTTCCGGCCCTCCGGTCCAGTTTAAGAACCCATTGTGGCCCTCGAGTCAAAAAGTTTGCCCACCCCTGCTCTATCCACTAAGCCAAACCAGCTAGGGACATTTTTTTTAATTTTTAAATTACAGTTGACATACCATATTATATTAGTTTCAGGTGTACAGAATAGTGGTTAGACATTTATATTACTTACAGATACCCCAATATATCTTGTACCTACCTGACACCATGTATAATTATTCCAATACTAGAGGCCCGGTGCACAAATTTGTGCACCAGTGGGGTCCCTCAGCCTGGCCTGCGGGGATCAGGCCAAAACTGGTTCTCCAACATCCCCCGAGGGGTCCTGGATTGCAAGAGGGCACAGGCCAGGCTGAGGGACCCCACCGGTGCATGATCAGTGCCAGGAAGAGACACAGGAGGTTGTGCAGCCTGGGAGGGACCTCGG